GCGGGTCCGGGCTGGGGATTCGAACCTGCCACCTTAGGTGTATGTGGCTGGCGCCTTAGCCGGTTGAGCCACAGGTGCCGAGCCTGCTAATTTAATTTTTTTATACAATCTAACGTGGTTACATTGAGCCAATCAACAAAGCTTTCACCTCATTTACTCGATTATTGTGCCAAAACATCTATGTTCTACATTTCACAGATTTATTTATTTTAATTTTTAAAATGTTCTTTATGTTTTTGCCATCCTCTATAGACCAGGAGATATGTTTTCTTCACTCATACCTCTTTTACTCTTTGGATTTTAATACCATAAACTTTTTTAACATCTGCATAACCATAATTGAATTATGCATTTGTTTATTTGAGGGAATATACAAGTAGTTTTTTCACTGCATAAATGACTCTGTTCATAACACTTTCACAGTATTTCCTTGGGATACAGTCCCACACTGTAATTGAAACTCCCAGGCCAAAGCCTGTCCACATCGCAATGTTGTTTAAGATACTAGCCCAGCAGCAACTCCTAAAAGGTGTTTCGGTCTCTTCTCTCAGGAAAAAACAGCCCCGGTGTCTTTTCGCCTCACTTTCCTGGGAGCCAGGCCCAGTGAGATCCGTGCATTTTAACTAGAGCTTTGCTTCTTTCTTGTCTGGGCGGGATTAAGAGCCAACTCCATCCTGCCCCTGCCTGTCAGTCTCCAGCTTTGCCCTAACTGGGGATGACTGTTCTGCATTCTGGCTTCCAGTTCTTGACTTGCCCCACCTCTGAGCTGTGACCCTTCTAAATCTACAGTATCCCATTGCCACAGTCCTGCAGCTTCTCCAGTGGACATAGGGACTGCTATTGCCACTGGGGAGGAAAAGAGGTATCGGGGAGGGGGGAGAATTGAGATTGATCAGCCAGCGAGCAAGTAGGACTGTAGCAGGAGGACTCACTAGGGCAACATCCCTCACCCCGCAGGAAGTGGGAAGGCTTCCATTTGCCTCAGGCTCAGGCTCAGGCTCCAAATCTCAGTCTTTGGGGTTGGCTAGAATGACCTTCAGGGCTCCTCTGACTCTGCAGCACGGGAATACCGCTGTATTACATGTGAGGTAATCCCCAAAGGGGGTTAACAAAGGCCCCTCTGTTAACTCCACCCCACAGCAGGTCCCTAGCAGGGCCTAGCCATCACCAGCACCCACCAATCTCCCCCTAACTCACACTCTCCCTCTCACAGTATAGTGTGAGACAGAGACACAGCCCGTCTCCCTGAGGTGCAGCCACCTCCACATCCCAGGAGAGACCAGCCTATCTCTTCAGTCACAGTGGCATGAAGTGGGTGTGGTGTTTTGTACCCCTTGTACCCCATCTGACCTTTGATCTCACATCAGCCTTCTACCTTCTTTGCTCATAGTTTTGAACAAACAACACACCTGCTCGCCTATATCAAATAATGTGCAATGTAATGCAGACACGGTATGTGGGGACATGAAAGTGACTTGGGACTCCAGGGCATATGGCCCTGACCAGACCACTAGAGGAAACAATGAGTGAGTGTGACAGCCCCTTCACCTCTCACCATCCCCATCCCAAAGCTGTAAACTCAGCAGAAGACCAGAAAAGACTCGGCCCTAGATGTATATATCTGCATGCTATGCTGTTAGGTTAGCATAAATGTTTACTGTTAACATCGATACCAAAATAAAAATAATTTTTAAGTATCAAACTTCTCTTGCAGCTGCTCTTTTGTTCATTTTCCACCTAGATCCCAGGCATCCTAATTGTTTGGAATCTTGCTTAAGGTGGGCCACCTGGGACCGGCTGAAGATGGAGGATCTAGTTAGATCCCCGACCAGCAAACTGCTTCATCTGATCCTCAGTTTCCCCATCTGCAGCAGAGTGGCAACTGCCTACTATGCTTGGCACTGGGTAGACAGGAAAAGGTCTGGGTCAACCTGAGTGGGTTAGATCCTGGCTCCACCACCCACTACCTCGGTGACCCCCAAGCAGGTTACTTACCCTGCCTGAGCTGCGTTTGCCCTCTAGGTGATGGGGTCACAGGTACTACTGACCCCAGGAGTGCTGGGAGAATTAACCAGACCGTGCCCAAGACTAGCAAACGCTAAGTGCTTAAGGGGCATAGCATTCCTCCTTCTTCAGGGTTGTAAACTATAGACCCCACCCATGTGAGTTTAATAATTTATATGTAAATCTTATACTATTCATGATATTTTAATAAGTTGTTTTAATTAA